TATGATGCAGGCGACTATGGCCCTCCACACCCATTAACCCCACTTGGAGAGACCACCTGTGATGCCCAGTTCGTCAGAGACAAAGACAATCAGCTGATCATCAAAGAGTTTGCAGTGTATCTCCCCGGGTTCAGTGTAGATTCCTACAAAGTAGCTACATTTGCCCCACCCTATGAAAAAGAACTGCTGCCAAAGAAAGTGAGAAAGCAGAATGAATATCTTGATAACTATATTCATGCTCTGTCATGGAACGACGGAGAATATGCATACAAAAATATCCACTACACTATGTGGACTATGACTTGGCGATACCAAAACTTGTATGCTAAAGGCACTGAGAAAGTTAAAATTCTCCAAGCTTATTTGCCCCATCTCTTGGTCATTAATATTGAAACACTGGGTTGCCCCTCCTTTGATAAGCTTCCACTGTTTCATGCACCATGTGAAAATGAAATTCATAACGAATATCCCACATACACTTGTGCAGTGAAGCAAGCTAAGAGACTTGGGTTGGGGCTCGACTTCTACAAGAGTTCCCACAAGTGAATAAGAGTTCCCATGAGAGAGGTGTGTTCCGATAAAAATAAAAAAAACCAATACAAAACTAATATAAGGAAAAGGAAAAAAAATACAATAAAAACTTACAAAAGTACAAAAATATTTATTAAATCAAAGACCTAAGGGTAACAGGATTTAAAAAACATTAAACAGCCATCTTGGCAAACACGATAAAGTCCTTAGGTAACAGGATTTAAAAAGCCATCTTGGCAAACAAGATAAAGTCCTTAGGTAACAGGATTTAAAAAGCCATCTTGGCAAACAAGATAAAGTCCTTAGGTAACAGGATTTAAAAAGCCATCTTGGCAAACAAGATAAAGTCCTTAGGTAACAGGATTTTAAAACAAACAATAAAAAGCCATCTTGGCAACATGATAAAAAATAAGCCTAAAAAAAGGCAATCAGATCATCACCTGAAACAGACAAACACACAAAACAAGATTAGTACACTGTCAAGCAGTTCCCTACTTCCCTCCCACTTCAAGCAGTTAGTGAAAAATTTTCCAAGTCCCAGTCCTTGCTAAGTTTCCCCTAAATGTACTATCATTCCTTCATATGAGTTCTTAGGAAGGCCCTCTCAAAATTAAAACTTATTTGAGTTACCTCAACTTGGGCGAAACAAGAATTAAAAATAAATTGTTAACCACAGACATGAAAACATAAAACTGAGGTTAAGATAAATGTTATGAGTGAAATTAACATTGAAACTAAATGGAATTATTGTATTAATGCTTGCCAATGATGCTACATGACTCCCAGTGACATCACCAACTCAAAACTAACTTCGCTCAGTTGGGCGGCAGAGCACAAGTGAACTAATACAAGTCCTATACACTACACCATAAACCAATGCTCAGATAAGATAATGAGCAATAAAATGATACTCTTTCCTTTCAATCTATCTTCCCCTAAATGAGATTAACATGCCTAATAAGTTTTTTAAGTCCTGGAGGTGAGAACAAAGTTTAAACCTTTTCCGAGTCCAGAGACGGAGTTATCAAACTTTAAATATTGAAACAACTATTTACTCCACTACTAAAACAAGATAATGCCGAACATAATAATGCAAAATGATAAGGAAAAGATGGAGCAGAGCTTCTCCTTAGTGACAGTTAATGAAACCAACACAAAAATAGATTCAGTTAATTGAACGATTATTATTAGGAGAAGGTTAATGAGAGCAACACATCAAAATTAATATGTCAGCTTCATGATGAAAACACCAAACAATGTCTTTTAAAATACCTGACATTTTGGTGACTGAAAGCTGACTTGAAATAAAAAATATAATTAATTTTTAAAAAAGAACTCAAAAATAAAAAAATTATACTAACTATCATTTGCGAGGGTTCCTCGGCCTTGCCTCGAACGTGGGAACGTGACGCTTAGGCGGCCTCGCTTCGTCCCTTGGATTAAAAGGGCGTACCTCAGGCACCACAGCGTCAGGTTCTTCTTCTGGACCCAGACTATAAAAACCATGGTCGTCATGGTGAATTTCCATGACCATAGGGCTGTCCACAATAGTGGAAGTTGTCATCCCCATGGTGAAACGGGCTTCCCTATGGTGGAGGTCGCACCATGAGGAGAACCACCATGGTGCGGCGGTCTCGACCATGGTGGAGGTCTTCCCATAGTGCTAGTCACCATGGTGGAGCTCGCACCATGGTGAATGTTGCCCTCCTCGTGCGTTGAAGTCTCCAGGGTTTATTCAGAAATTAACCGTAACTTTTAAATATTTTGAGATGGAGAGACACCGACAGCACCATCGTGCGTAGCGTCGAATTTTCATCGGTGTCCGAGGTGCCTGTTGCTCGTCCGGTATTCTCTAGAGACGTCCTTCATTAGGGTGCGTCGATATGCACGACTTTTCAGATGCAGCTTTTGGGTAGCACTCAAAAGTTTCGTTTTTTTGTGCTGATTCCATAAATGACCTCGGTTTTGCGATAAGACAAAGCCTTCATGACCCTACCGGGCGTTTTATGTCAAAAAGCGGAGTTTTTGTATTTTTTCTTGCTTTTTGGTTCCGCATACCATCCCAAACTGGCGGGGCGGCTGTTGCACGGTCGGATGGCCACCGCCTACACTAAACACAAGTTTTCCAGCTTGGCAGGACCACCGGACACCTCACGTGTGTGTCCCAAACCTCAATTTTCACCCCTTTTTTACCACAATTTTTCATTTTTTCCCCTTTTTTTCAGCTTTTATCGAGGATTGTACCGACCTAGTCGGTCTATACCATGACCAGAGGTTGTATAAAACAGTGTAGGGGTACATAGAACGCAAGGCAGCCCCCGGACCGGGGCTGTGTAGGGAGGGGAAAGGAGGGAGGGAGGGGAGCCACTAGGGTAAATCCACTCTGAAATTCCAGAGTGTATGTCTGAGTTTTAGAGTTTCAATTAGAGTTCCAGAGTTCCTGTCAGAGTTACAGAGTTTATGCCAGAGTTGCAGAGTTCCTTTCAGAGTTTTAGAGTTAACTCAGAGTTTGAGAATTAACTCAGAGTTCCAGAGTTTGTACTCTTCAGAGTTTCTGAATCCTTTTCTGAGTTTCAGAGTTCCATCCAGAGTCTGAAAAGCTGTTCAGAGTTGCAGAGTCGCGCTTGAAGGTTTAGAGTCTGAGTTTGAGTTTCAGAGTGGTGTCCAAATTGGCAAGGCTCTAAATCGAAAAGTTACCGGAATTTTCGATTGAAATTTTATATGCAGCATCTACACACAAATTTAGTAGGGCCATTTTAATTTTATTAAATTTGGAAACCTTTTTTCTGCTATCTCGTGAACCGTTGGTGGTAGCACAAAATGGATCGCGGATTCGGATCGAACTCGGTTCCACGACCCCTATAACATTGTAATGATCTTAAAAAAACATGTTGGATTGGAGATAATGACACTTTTAAGTTGACTCTGAACCTCTGGAACTCTCATTATTCCTGTCTAAAACTCTGATTATGTCACTCTGAAACTCCGAATGGCACTCTGGAACTCTAACTCTGAGGTGCGCGAATTTTTAGACTAACTTTCTCAGAGTTGCTGGTCCAGAGTTAGTAAACTATGAAATGTCAGAGTGGGATAACTCTGGGAGTTTTCAGAGTGGATTTACCCTAGTGAGGCGGAGAAAACAAACTCCCAAAATCGGCCCAAATCAGCTGCTTTGCCCTTGCGTTTGGTAAATACTGTATTACCGTGCAGGTCTTAGCTCGGCAAGTGTTTCTACCCCTTGCCTACCCAGGACTCACCACGAGGAGGTGCCTGCACATCGAGTCCCGCCCACTCTCCCACCCGGGCTTGGTTTTCCTAACGCGGCGGTTTGAACACTGCCTTGTTAGTGTACTAGGGCACGGCGTTTCTCGCAGAGACCCTGGTCATTATGAAGCTATAGCGGCGCTCCTGGCCGACCACCTTCGACGACGAAGACCTGCAGGCTGCCGCCGCTGCCAGCCCTCTGGAGCTGCCTCCACTGCCGTGCCACACCCAGCCAGTGGAGTGCTTTGCCAAGGAGGTCACCACCGCGGCGGAAAAGGTGGTCGGCCAGGCCAGGAGCGCCGTGATGGCTTCATAAGGACCAGGGTCTCTGCGAGAAACGCCATGCCCGAGTACACTAACAAGGCAGTGTTCAAACCGCCGCGTTAGGAAAACCAAGCCCGGGTGGGAGAGTGGGCGGGACTCGATGTGCAGGCACCTCCTCGTGGTGAGTCCTGGGTAGGCAAGGGGTAGAAACACTTGCCGAGCTAAGACCTGCACGGTAATACAGTATTTACCAAACGCAAGGGCAAAGCAGCTGATTTGGGCCGATTTTGGGAGTTTGTTTTCTCCGCCTCCCCTCCCTCCCTCCTTTCCCCTCCCTACACAGCCCCGGTCCGGGGGCTGCCTTGCGTTCTATGTACCCCTACACTGTTTTATACAACCTCTGGTCATGGTATAGACCGACTAGGTCGGTACAATCCTCGATAAAAGCTGAAAAAAAGGGAAAAAAATGAAAAATTGTGGTAAAAAAGGGGTGAAAATTGAGGTTTGGGACACACACGTGAGGTGTCCGGTGGTCCTGCCAAGCTGGAAAACTTGTGTTTAGTGTAGGCGGTGGCCATCCGACCGTGCAACAGCCGCCCCGCCAGTTTGGGATGGTATGCGGAACCAAAAAGCAAGAAAAAATACAAAAACTCCGCTTTTTGACATAAAACGCCCGGTAGGGTCATGAAGGCTTTGTCTTATCGCAAAACCGAGGTCATTTATGGAATCAGCACAAAAAAACGAAACTTTTGAGTGCTACCCAAAAGCTGCATCTGAAAAGTCGTGCATATCGACGCACCCTATCCTTCATTCACCATGAGGCACTTCGCGATGGTGCTGGCCGCCATGGAGCTGATCGCCATGGTGCACGCCGCCATGGTGCACGACCCCATGGGTCGGGAGTGACCATAGGTTGAATCACCTTGGGCATTTCTCCATGGTTACGACCTCCTGACCATGGCGAACAATGAGTCCCTATGGTTCGTCTGCCCCATGGAGCGGCTCATGGTTTTTTTAGTCTGGGGAGCAGCGACTGGAGGGAGGTTGACCTCAGGCACCAGTGCGTCAGCAACTTCTGGAGCAGCGACTGGAGGGAGTAGCACCTGTACTTCAGGCACCTCTGCTTCTTCTTCTGGACCATGTGCAATCTCAACCTCTTCTTCTTCTCCAGGATAAGTTTGACGAGGACCCAGCCTCAAGAAGGCTGACTGAAAAAACAAATAATAATGGAAAAAATAAACGATGAGGTAAAGAGAAGTTAAGGGGGCTGATACATGTTAAATCTAAATGAAATTACCACTCTGCGTGGAGCTGATTCACTAACTCTCTCCTGTTCCAACTCATTGAGCTCACTATCATGGGATGCATCCTGAAACAACAAAAAAAGGCTTGAGTTTACATTGAAAAATTCATTAAGTAATTGTGGTGAATAACAAAAATAACTCACAAGAGTGTGGGGGGAGAAGAGCTCCGCCATCACCCACTCTTCCTCCTCATGCGTCAGTAGAGGTGAGGGTGGCGGAACAGCAGCTTCAATTAACTCTTCAGCAGAATCAAAAGAGGACCCAAACAATTGCTGAAACAGTAAAAATAAAAAAACAACATAAAATTTTCCTAAGACTATAAAATAATGCACACTCTCACTACACCTTAATAATACATACCCTCATCACGTCAAAATTAGCAGCTTCAAGGGAAGCCGCAGACCACGAGACATCGACTTGCCCCTCTGGAGTGGGTGGCAGTGGCGACGGAGGTGCTGCCACACCAATCGGTGACAGTTGAGGGGAGACTGCAGGGGGATCAATCTTGACTGGCGTTGATGAGACCTGCTGCTGAAAAACATTATGGAAAAAAGATTAATTGCTTTGCGCACACTTCATAATTGACTAACCATCCTCACTTATCTTCTTCATTTTTTTTTTATTTTTTCAAATAAAAAAAGACACGATAAATGAGCATGTTTTTTTAAGGTGAGATGTTCGCTCTCAAGAATCGTAGCAACGACGAGAGCATACCGAGGCCATTCCACAGTATGCTCAACTCACACGACTGGTGGTCAAGTAACCCAAGGAGACGAACGCCGGGAGGGTAGGCAACCCATCGGACTCCTGTGTGTTGTGGAACTAGACAACAGTTTACGAAAAATAGCTCGCAAAAAGAGACAGCGAGAAAAAGCCCAAGAGTCAAGAAAAAGCACTAAGCATCAGTGCGACAGGGGACCACACGAACACGAAAAGTGCAGACGAGATCACATGCACACACAAGCACGGGCCAAGGCATAAAAAAAAGTTGCAGTCAAGTGGTTAGCTGAGGGGAATACTCCCTCAAGATTGAACAAGCCAAGCCGACACACACTGCGTTTAAATTGGAACATACTCACTTCATATCGATTCACTAAGTCACGCTGTACTCAGCCATCGGTAAATAAAGTCGAAAATGATAGTTCTGAAACGAAAAATGGTTGAGATGAAATATAAATGACGGTAAAGTGACGCCGAGAGAGGTTAGGTCGACCGACCGGCCGATCCAGCCATCGACACGCAGCGCTCATTGCACGACGAAAATCGGATTTCACCGTGAAAATCACAGCACAGACTTTAATTAATTGCTCCAGTTCAGATGAACAGGAGAACAAAAGGACTTTGCGTGCGATGGCGGGCCGAGACGGCTAGGCCTAGGCTGCGTCACTCGCATCGGATTTTTACAAAACATAAAAATACTCACTTCTTCTTCTTCCTCAAACAGTGCCCCCGACACATCAGCGTCGATGACAAGTGATTCGTCGTCACTGTCAGAAGTGTAGGATCTGATTAAATCCATTTTGGATCGGCAAGAGATACCGCGACTCTGCACCAGGCTCTCTACTCTGCACAGCAGCGACAGGAAATGCTCTGAGGAGCTGGAGCTGTGCTGCGCTAAGGGTTTCCGCCGATCAGGGCTCCAGGCAGAGAAGGGGAGGGAGGGGGAGGCTCAGGGCGGAGAACGGAAGGGATGCGCGCGCCACTTCCTAGCGCTAATTTTTTGAATTGGATCAAATGAATTTTAAACTTGCGCTGCAGTACAGGGGCTTCCCGCAGCACTGCAAGGTCGTCGTCGACGTCGTGGTGGGAGACTCGCGCTGCCGCCGGCACCAAGGTGACCCACTTGTTGAAGTCAAAGGCCTTTCCCCACTAGAAAAACCCGATCGGTGGCGAGGTTACGTCGCCTACCGCTAGATGGCGCTGATCGCTTGGCTCCGCCCACAGGCTCGTCACGGCGCAGTTCCCCCGGCGGCGGCGCGAACATTCAAACGCGGCGCGGAACGAGGCACGGCGGTGCGACCCGGCACAGCGCGTTCCCGGACAAGATCAGACCTGCTTAGGTTCACTTAGGTTAGGACCGCCCAAGATACCGATCACCAAAAAAATTAGGTGGGGTGGGTTAGACCCGCCCAAGTGCAAGAATGCCCCACGGGCAAATTAGACCTGCTTAGGTTCACTTAGGTTACCCCCCCGCCCAGGTGCAAGAATGTCCCACGGGCAAGAGGCGGCAAGAATACCCGGGGTATACTACTGACGATGACTTTTGAGGAGTTTCTTTAGCGTCGGGCTACGTGAAGTGCCGAAAACACGAAAAGTCAAAGTCGAATTTCGCGTTCGTATTGAAGCAGAGGACCGATTTAGAGCGTGCCCTTGGGATCCCGCATAGTCCCAGTGCGATTGGCGACGATGACTTTTGAGGAGATTCTTTAGCGTCGTGCCACGTAAAGTACCGAAATCACGAAAAGTCAAAGTCGAATTTCGCGTTCCTATTGAAGAAGAGGACCGATTTAGAGCGTGCTTTTGCGATCCCGCATAGTCCCAGTGCGATTGGCGACGATGACTTTTGAGGAGATTCTTTAGCGTCGTTCTACGTGAAGTGCCGAAAACACGAAAAGTCAAAGTCGAATTTCGCGTTCCTATTGAAGCAGAGGACCGATTTAGAGCGTGCCCTTGCGATCCCACATAGTTCCGGTGCGATTGGCGACGATGACTTTTGAGGAGATTCTTTAGCGTCATGCTACGTTAAGTGCCGAAAACACGAAGAGTCAAAGTCGAATTTCGCGTTCCTATTGAAGCAGAGGACCGATTTAGGGCGTGCTTTTGCGATCCCGCATAGTCCCAGTGCGATTGGCGACGATGACTTTTGAGGAGATTCTTTTGCGTCGTGCTACGTGAAGTGCCGAAAACACGAAGAGTCAAAGTCGAATTTCGCGTTCCTATTGAAGCAGAGGACCGATTTAGAGCGTGCCCTTGCGATCCCGCATAGTTCCAGTGCGATTGGCGACGATGATTTTTGAGGAGATTCTTTAGCGTCGTGCTACGTGAAGTGCCGCAAACACGAAAAGTCAAAGTCGAATTTCGCGTTCCTATTGAAGCAGAGGACCGATTTAGAGCGTGCCCTTGCGATCCCGCATAGTTCCAGTGCGATTGGCGACGATGACTTTTGAGGAGATTCTTTAGCGTCGTGCTACGTGAAGTGCCGAAAACACGAAGAGTCAAAGTCGAATTTCGCGTTCCTATTGAAGCAGAGGACCGATTAAGAGCGTGCCCTTGCGATCCCGCATAGTTCCAGTGCGATTGGCGACGATGACTTTTGAGGAGATTCTTTAGCGTCGTGCTACGTGAAGTGCCGAAAACACGAAGAGTCAAAGTCGAATTTCGCGTTCCTATTGAAGCAGAGGACCGATTTAGCGCGTGCTTTTGCGATCCCGCATAGTCCCAGTGCGATTGGCGACGATGACTTTTGAGGAGATTCTTTTGCGTCGTGCTACGTGAAGTGCCGAAAACACAAAAAGTCAAAGTCGAATTTCGCGTTCCTATTAAAGCAGAGGACCGATTTAGAGCGTGCCATGGCGATCCCGCATAGTTCCAGTGCGATTGGCGACGATGACTTTTGAGAAGATTCTTTAGCGTCGTGCTACGTGAAGTGCCGAAAACACGAAAAGTCAAAGTCGAATTTTGCGTTCCTATTGAAGCAGAGGACCGATTTAGCGCGTGCTTTTGCGATCCCGCATAGTCCCAGTGCGATTGGCGACGATGACTTTTGGGGAGATTCTTTAGCGTCGTGCTACGTGAAGTGCCGAAAACACGAAGAGTCAAAGTCGAATTTCGCGTTCCTATTAACACTAGAACCGCTGACTTTTTCGTATACCTAGAACCGCGGAAGGGGTCATTTTGACCCCCCATTTTTTCTGCCCGTATTTTTCTTATTTTGCTCATGTTATGGGCCCTTAACGATGTAAAATGATGTATCTGAGATCAACAATGATATTTTGAATTATATAGGGCCTTAAAAGGCCAAAGGTAGGCAACCCGCATGGCACGAATAACCTGTTTTGCTCCTTTTCTACTATTTTTGGCCCGTCCCTTGTATTTTTTTTGTTAAAAAAATGACGGAGGGACGGAGTATGATCCATGCTGTGTGTCCGTCCGTTCGTTCGTCCGAGGACTTCCCGTGGTCCGATCTTGACCAAATTTGATATGCAGCCTACTTGGGTGACCCTTAAGAACCGCCCGCTGGCAGCAAATTCGATCCGAGCCCCGGGGGCGCTGCTGCAGGTGCATCATGGTCTACCTTAGGTCGAGGAGGATTTCGGTAACGGATACAGCTAGAAGAGCATGAAGGGAATCGGGGCGACGAGACAAAACCAACGGTAGCCAGTTTCAAGCGAATCGGAGAGGTTTGAACCCGGGTTCAAATCCCAGTGGGGTACATTTAGAACATTCTTTTTATTCCAGTTTTTGCATTGTTGGATGTGTTGAGGGTTTTCGATCTAATTTATGCTGATCTAAAAAAATCTATTTTGACCCCAGACTCATTTTTAAATCCCGTCCCGGGTTAAAAAAAGGCGAAATTAGTACATTCCTCAATGTACGGGGGGGCCCAAAATTGCCGATGTATATGGGAACTTTTCCTGTTATTCAGTGTGGGGATGGGGACTAAGTGACGTAGATTTTTTTCCAGATGAACCCTTTTCACTTAAACGTATCTAAAACATTAGACACATAAAAGGGGTCACCGTGCTTTTACTGCTGAGTCCAGAAACCAAGCGGTATCCTAACAAAATACAAAATTAGGGTGGGGGCTGCCGGGGGGATCGGAGTGTCGCATGGCAGGCAGTCTGCTCGAAACACGAAAACCTCGCGGGTACAGCGCGAGCGGCACCGGCCAACAATCCCCCGTCCCCGGTACAGTGCGCATAGAACAGCAAATGTCTCACGGCTCGGGCCCGGGGCAAGCCACAGCCGGGTCGCACCGACATTGGGCCCGCTCGTTGGGCCATGTTATTATTGGGCTATCTATTTATTCATACCAGTTATAAAAAAACCCGAACTAACCTCGAAAAAACCAAACGAGTATATCTCTTTCCTTAACTTCGTTGAATGAGATTTTTTTTTTCTACAGACAGATACCCTTTCGCGGAAACCCCGATCTTGCATACTTTAGGCGTTTTTTCGGCGGGTCGCCTACCCCTTTGGGCCCAAATTAGGTCTCCCAGGGAGTCCATAGCACTCCCAAATGATTCACCCCTAAAAATTTAGCTTGTGACGCTTTTTTATTGCCAAATTCGAATTCCTGAGTGCAAACAATACGGGGTCAAAATGACCCCTGCCGCGGTTCTAGGTATTTGTTTTCCACCCACAAAAATGGTCCGACAGGCCGAAATTTTCCAAATTCTTTTTTTGGGATTTATAAAAAGTCAAAAAGCCCCCAAAACCGAGAAAAAAAAATAAGTCAGAAAAATTTATGCGAAAATTAAAAGGGTCAAAAGATTCCCCGTTCTATTAAAACAGAGGACCGATTTTGAGCGTGCCCTTTCGACCCGCATAGTCCCCGGCGATTGGCGACGATAAATTTTGAGGAGATTCTTTTGCGTCGTGCTACGTGAAGTGCCGAAAACACAAAAGTCAAAGTCGAATTTCGCGTTCCTATTGAAGCAGAGGACCGATTTAGGCGTGCTTTTTCGACCCGCATAGTCCCAGTGCGATTGGCGACGATGACTTTTGAGGGGATTTTTAGCGTCGTGCTACGTGAAGTGCCGAAAACACGAAAGCAAAGTCGAATTTCGCGTTCCTATTTAAGCAGAGCCCATTTAGGCGTTCCCCTTTGGGTCCCGCATAGTTCCAGTGCGATTGGCGACGATGACTTTTGAGGAGATTTTTTAGCGTCGTGCTACGTGAAGTGCCGAAAAAACAAAAAAACAAAGTCGAATTTCGCGTTCCTATTAAAACAGAGGACCGATTTAGAGCGGCCCTTGCGATCCCGCATAGTTTCCCGTGCGATTTGGGGACGGTTTTGAGGAGATTCTTTGCGTCGTGCTACGTGAAGTGCCGAAAACACGAAAATCAAAGTCGAAATTTTGCGTTCCCTTTTAAGCGAGGACCGATTTAGAGCGTG